TTTTATATCTTCTTCATTCAGCTTTGGTAATTCACATGTATCTAGAAATCTGTCCATTTCCTCTGTGTTTTCCATCCTATGAGATTAAAGATTTTCAAAGTAGGTATTCATGATCTGAATTTCTTCAGGATCTGTAGCAATTTCATCCCTTTCATTCTTTATTGCGTTTATTTCCATTTTTTCTTTCCTTTTTTTGATAAGGTTGGCTAGGGGGTTATCTATTTTATTTGTTCTTTCAAAGAACCAAGTCTTCGATTCATTAATTCTTTGTATTTTTTTTTTTAGTCTCTGTTGCGTTAATTTCTGCTCTGAGCTTTATAATTTCCTGCCTTTTTTGGGCTCCAGTTTTGACTTGCTCTTCTTTTTCTAGGAACTTGAGGTGCAGCATAAGATTGTTTATTTGTGCTTGTTCTGTTTTCCTAAGGTGGGAGTTTGCCTATAAATTTCCCTCTGAGGACTGCTTTCATTGCATCCCACAGGTTTCTGTAGGTTGTATCTCCAATTTCGTTTGATTGTAAATAGTGTTTAATCTCCACTTTGATTTCATCTGTGACCTATTGATTGTTCAGGAGGATGTTATTTAATTTCCAACTGTTTTTTGGAATTTTTGTGTTTTCTTTTGTCATTAATTTCCAATTTCATTGCACTATGGTCTGATAGTATACATGGGATAATTTCAATTCCTTTGCATTTACTTAAACATCATCTATGTACTAGTATATGGTCTATATTAGAGAACATCCCATGTGCAGCTGAGAAGAATGTATATTCTGATGCTGTTGGGTGGAACACTCTGTAAAGGTCTGCTAGGTCCACATGTTCACTCGTTTGGTTAAGTTCTGTTATTTCTTTCCCAATTTTTTGTCTAGTTGATCTGTCTCTTTGTGACAATGGTGTGTTAAAGTCCCCTGTTATGATTGTGTTGCTACTTATTTCATTTTTCATGTCTGTTAGAATTTGTCTTATATAGGTGTGTGCTCCCATATTTGGTGCACAGATGTTTAAGATTATTATCTCTTCCTCTTGAAGCTTCCCCTTCACAACTATGTAGTGACCTTCTTTATCTCTTTTGATTGTTCTTGGTTTGAAGTTCACGTTGTCTGCAAGCAGAGTAGTTATGCCCACTTTTTTCTGGGTTCCTGTCACATGGAGTATTGTTTTCCATCCTTGAATTTTCAGTCTTTGAATTTCCTTTTGAGTTAAATGTGTTTCTTGTTTCCTAATGCACTCTGCAAGTCTGCATCTTTTGGTTGGTGCATTGAGACCATTTACATTGATGGTTATAATGGATATGTACTGGCTTATCTTTGTCATGTTATTTTCCTGCTGTTGGATCCTCCTTTTTCCCTACATTTAATTGCTTGCTCTGCTTGTTGGTTCCTTTCTGTTGTTGTTCTTGAAGTTGTGGTCTGTTTTATCTCTTCCTAGTACATCTTTTAGTACTCTTTGAAGGATTGGTTTGGTGCTCATGAATTTCTTCAGTTGTTCTTTAGCATGAAAATATTTTATTTCTCCATTAAATTTGAAAGATAGCTTTGCAGGGTACATCAATCTGGGTTGGAAGTTGTTTTCTTTCAATACCTGAAATATTTCACTTCAAGCTCTTCTTGCCTTGATGGTTTGTGTTGAGAAGTCTGCCGTGATTCTGATAGGCTTTCCTTTATAGGTGATCTTTTCTTTTCTCTAACAGCTTTTAATATTCTGAGCTTTTGTTGAGTTTCCAGGATCTTGATCACTATATGTCTGGGTATAGATTTATTTTGGTTATGATTAACTGGAGTTCTATATGCTTCATTTTATCTGGATGTCCAATTCTTTTACCATGCCTGGGAAGTTTTCTGCAATTATTTCTGCAAATAGTCTTTTTCATGTCATATGCGTTGACACCTGCTGTTTCATTAATACCTATTAATCTGACATTGTTTCTCTTTGCTTCATCTTGCAGTTGTTGAATTGTTATTTCCTGGATCCTTATTGTTTTTAAGAGATCCCTCCTTTCACATTCACTAGTAGCAATGCTGTCTTCAAGGTCTGAAAGTCTATCTTCAGCTTCGTTCAGGTGGTTTTGCAAGCTTTCAATGGAATTTTTAAGTTCCTGGATATCTGTTTGCATCTGTTTCATACCTTCTAGTTCTTTTCTATATTGTTCCCTGAAGTTTTCATTGAGTTGTCTATGTTCTTCTATTTTCTTGTCTATGTCATCTTTGAATATGCCGAACATATCTTTCATTATTGCTGTCATTTCTTTTCTCACCTGAGACATTATTTCTGATCTGATGTCTTCTATGGCCTGATGGAGTTGTTTCTTTACTTCAGTTGCTATCATTTCAGAAATTTCAGGTGCATGGCTTCCAGGCGCTTTTGTGTTGATGCCTCCTGGACATGTTTTGGGTGGTGTGGAGGTCTGGGATTGCATTTTGCTGCTTTGTTTTGTCATTTTTGAAGAACCAGAGACTCCCTGTAGTGCAGTCTCACTGTCCTGATTGTGTGTGAGTGACAGGGCAAGAGTCTGAAGATCCCCAGTACTCAGTGTAGCTCCTGTGCTGGTGAGTGGTGGCAAGCTGGGGTCCCAGATGCTCCCAACCTTTCTTGCATTCAGTTGGCTCCCAGGAGTGTGTGGGAAGGGCAGGGAAGGCTCGCTGGAGTTCCTGAGACTGTCTGGGGTTCAGCCCAGCTTCCACAAGAGTTGGGGGGGGATGCAGGTCGAGTTCACTGAGGCTTCAGATATTGCCAAGGACAGAGCCTGCTTCCCACACTGGAAGGGGAGGGGTGAGGGTGAGCTCCCCGAGGTCACTGACTATGTTCAGGTTTCAGCTGAGCTACCAGGGGTGTGTGTGTTGTTCTGGCAGTGACCACCAAGGCCCCAGAAGTTGTCCAGGAATCCACATGCCTCACACCTTAGTGGGAGAGGCACCAGAGTGGCTCACTGGGTTCCTAAAGGTGTCTGACTTTCAGCCCAGCCCTGGATCACACACTATGGGTGTGGTGGGGAGCCTCCTAGGCCCCAGAGGGTTCCCAGGTTTCGCCTGCCTTGTACACTGGTCAGGGATGCAAAGCTGCGACTCACTGGGCTTCCTGAAGATGTCTGGTGTTCAGCCCAGCCCGGGCCCACACACTATGGGTGTGACAGGTAGTCCCCAAGGCCCCAGAGGGTGCCTGAGGTTTCACCTGCCTTGCACACTGGTCAGGGAAGCAGAGCCCAAACTCACTGGGCTTCCTGAAGATGTCCAGGGCCTACACACTATGGGTGTGGTGTAGCCACTGAGGCCCCAGAGGGTGCCCGATGTTTCGCCTGCCTTGCATGCTGGGCAGGGAGGCAGAGCCCTGACTCACCAGGCTTCCTGAAGATGTCCAGGGTTCAGCCCTGTGATATTATTATAAATGGGATTATTTTCTTGATTTACTTTTCAGATAGTCCAACTATTACCAGTCTTTGTGCTGATAATGTATTTTGCAAATTTTTTCAGTTCTTTTATTAGTTTTAATAGTATTTTGTGGAATCCTTAGGGTTTTCCCATCTTCTACAAATATACACAATTTTTCTTATTCCTTTCTGATTAAGTGCTTTTTTCCCTTCAATTAACTGCTTTAGCTAAAACCTTTAGTACTATGTTGAATACAAGTAGCAACCTTGTCTATTCCTGATCTTAGAAGAAAAGCTCTCAACTTTTCATTAAGTACAATTTTAGCTGTGGGGTTGTAATACATGAACTTTATTATGTTGAGGTATATACACTCTACATCTAATCTACTGAAAAATTTTATCATGAAAGGTTGATGATATTTGTCAAGTGCTTTTTCTATATCTATTAATATGGTCATATGGTTCCCTAAATAATCTTAAATAGAATTATCACATAAGCCCACAATTTCTCTTCTCAGTATATATCCAAAGGAAATTAAATCAGTATGTTGAATCGAAATTGCAACAGTATTGACCCTTTAGAAAAAGGAAAAAGGAAATCCCATCATTTGCAACAACTGAATAAATCTGGAGGTTATTATGGTGAGCAAAATAAGCCAGGCACAGAAAGACAAATACAACATTAACTTATATAGAGAGCTAAAGAAATCCAAACTCAAAAACAGCTAGCAAAATGGTGGTTACCAGGGACTGGAACAGGGTGGGGTGGGAGGAGATGAGAAGAGACTGGGGAAAAGGTCAAAGGATATAAAATTTTAGGAGAAATAAGTTCAAAAAAAATCTATTGTACTGCATCATGACTATAGTTAGTAATATTGTATTATATACTTGAAAATTACTAGGAGATTTTAAGTGTTCTTACTACCCAAAAAGTAATTGATATGTTAATTTTATTTAGCTTTTCTACAAAGTATGCATATGCTAAAACATCATGTTATAAACCAAAATATATAAAATGCTATCTGTCAATTTTAAAATACAGAATTTTTAAGAATCAGGGTACTTGGAGGAGGTGAGTAGCTCAGCAGCAAATTCTGTGCATGCTTGTAGTCTGATTCACTTCATTTTCCCCTCCTTCTATATGTATTGACATCAGTGGGCCTTGCTCTGCTAAACAAACCACTTACTTTCACTATCCATGTGTTGCTTCTGAAGGAAAAAAGAGGGTTAGACTATGGTCTACCTCGAATCTTCTTTACAATTCTAACATGTTATAGAGCTAAAATCTTCTAGACATTGGGACATCCTCTGGATCTTATACCCCGTGATTCAGATCATCAAAGTGATCATCCATCCTTGGTCATGCAGGCCCAAAGGCTATGACCATGATATTACTACCTCTCTGTCCAATTACTGACAACCACAGGACATATTCCTTCAACTCCAGGGCACAGAAAGGTATGAGGAAGAAAAGTTCAATTCTATTGAATTAGTAGATTTCTATGTCCATGTCGATTAAGAAAAAAAAAAAAAATCCCTAAAAATGTTAGAGAAGAAACATGTTCCATAGCATACAAAGAAAGATCAGCCCAAATAGATTTAGGTGATCTTTTACTGATGTGAATTTTCTTCCTAGGGAGAAGCAAAGATGGTAAAAGATGGCAAAGTCTTCAGAGTGGTCCAAGAGAACTGCTGGGATCCCGAAATTCGTATTAGAGAAATGGATCAGAAAGGTATTTGCAATGAGAAATGCTCCCAGGTTTATATCTGATGCAAAAGCAATGCCTGCTTTAAAGTTGTTGATCATTTGGCACAATTTACTTGATAACAACTTCTGATTGCCTTTTCTCTGTCAGGTTGAGCTATTCCAGCTTTACTGGGGAAGGAGGGACCTTCCATTACAGTGCTTTAGAGTGTGGATTTTAAATGCTTTAAGATTCCTTATACCTGGTATCTTAGTCACTTTCTTATTGCTAAGACAATACCTGACACCCACAACTGAAAGGAAAGGTTTATTTTGGCTCATAATTATAGTCCGTGGTCAGGTGGCTCCACTATGACAGCATGGCAGATGGTCATAGTGAAGGAAAGCACCTCATATCATTGCATCAAGGAAGCAAAAGGAGAACCAGGGAAGGCAGTTATACCCTTCCAGGACATGTCTTCAGTAACTCATCTCTTTTGACCAGGCCCCACATTCTAATAGCACATTTAGCTATAAACTCATCAGTGAATTAATCCACCAATGAATATAGTGCACCATGATCCAATCACCTTACAAAAGCCCTGCCTATGGTCACATGAGGCTTTAGAGTAACATCTAGACATAAACCATATCCTTCTACCCCTGCTCCCCCAAAGACTCATGCGCATCTCTTTATGCAAAATGCATTAAGTCCATCTCTGAGAATTATCAAAATCCTAACAGTTTCAGTATTGTTGAAAAGTTCAAGTCCAAAGAAAGTCTCCTCTATCACTTCTTGGCCTTTTGGCTAAGATCAAGTGCAAAGAAAGTCTCCTCTGAGACTCAAGGCAAACTCTTAGCCATAATCACCTATAAAAATCAAAAAGAAAGTTAAACACTGCCAACATACAAGGGAACAGGATAAACAGTCCTATTCTAAAAGGAAGGAATGGGGAATAGAAACCAATGGGATGAAAGAAAGACTGAAACCCAGCAGGGCAAATATTAAATCTTGTAGCTCTGTGTCCAGTACCCGGGATAAGTTGCAGTTAGATGTGGAATATAAAGGGCTTGTATAACTCTGTCTCTGTGGTATTGTCTGTGGTTTCAGACCTTATGGCTTTTCTCTTGGGCTAGATTTGCTCTTTCCATGCAGCTTTCCTCAGACGCCCCACATTCCTGGCTTCTCTGACCTCTCAGTGTCCATTGCACTTTTGGCTTCACACTCACAGCTTCACATACTACCCTCTCAGGGGCATACTGTCTGGCCTCTAAGGCCTTCCTCTGAAATCTGGGTGGAAGACTTCCTGATCCCAGTCCTGGTATCAAAATCTGTGTCACGTGGAGTTCACCAGAGGAACAGATTTAGTATGATTATATAAAGGATTTACTAGCTAGGCTTACAGTGGCCACCTGGAAAATCAGAGTGCAAAATGGCTCTCTGCATGCTGGACAGCCAGAGGGTCCAGTCAAAGGTCAAAGTCCTGAAGCTCACTGCAGAGTCCAGTGCAAGTCCATATCAGAAAGCCAAAGGGTCTGCATGGGAAGGCTGAAGAATCTGTACTGAGAGCCTGAAAGAACAGGAGACAAATGTTCAAATGCAAAGCAAAGACCAGAGCTCCTTCAAAGAAGAAAAAGGGAAGACTTCCTTCTTCTTTATTCCCTTTTTATTCTGTCCAGGCTACAAGTTTATTGGGTGGTCTCACACATACACACACACACACACACACACACACACACACACACACGGCGGGGGAGGGAGAGATTTACTAATCTAAGGGGTTCTTATTCAAGTCAGGTTAACATACCACAATTAATTATACCCTGTTTAAAAAACAGTACATCACCAAAAATTTACCAGTGGCATTTTATTTACAGCTTTTTTACTTCAAATGTATAGTTCCACTTATTATAGAGCCAATTAAAACAGTAAAATTAGAAATCACAGATTAAGGATGGCAATGGCCTGTTTAGTCAGACTTGGGATTCAATTTCTGCAGTTTGTCTCAGTGCACTATACACAGAACACATCCACTGACACATAAAGGACACATCCACTGACACACATAAGATTTTTAAAAATTAAAGTTAACTCAATACTCTCAGAATACTCTTGGGATGAAAACTCAGAAAAAAGAAACTTAGGAAATTTTGCTTTCAAAGCTGAATTTCTAACAATTTCTAAGAACTGCTTGCATTATTTACCTTTTATCTAAAAAAATCAAACAAGTTCTCACAACATAAAAGAACTTCAAATACTAAAATATGATATTGTATCCATGTTATACTATTACTGTCACCTGAAGAAAGCACATGCTGAGGTCTTCTCAGCACAAGTCAGCAGTGGCCACAGGCTATGATGGGGAACTTGCCACCATCAACATTGTCAGGCCAAAATTTTGACATCTGTGGTCTTTATTTGAATCAAAACAAGCAATTCATACACACAGTCAAAAACAAATTCATAAAAAGTTCAGATAAATATACAGAAATGGTAGGAGACTTTGATTTTATTCCAAGGTCGGCAAAAAAGAGAACAGACTCAGCTTGGCTGTCCAAAATGAGTCGATGGGGTCTGTAATATTATAAAGGCATAGGAAGTTTTTGTCCAGGAATTATTTTATATACCCTAACAATTAAAAATATATCTAAGGGGTATTCAGATGACACTATGGAGAAAGCCTGAAGCATTTCTGTAGACTATGCCACAAAATGTAGTATTTATACTTATAATCTAAGTGTATATTGGAATGGGAGGAAAGCTGGAGAAAAACACATTTCCTAGATATACAGCAAAAAGCAAGGTTTTGCTATCAATGCAAAGCAAGAAGAAGGGCCCATTTTTTAAAAGAGAAAACCAGTGCAAATGCAATTTTGCTGACTGGTGTCAGATATCATTATTTATGGTTACAGTGCAGAGGAAGTGCATGGCTCTTTTTTGGTTGTTGTTCTGTGTTTAATTCCATGGCTGTCTTTGAGGGAATGGTTATGACTAATTCTTACTGAGCATTGAATTTGTACCAGGTGCTGCTGTCACCATTCAGTGTACATTAATTTATTTAATCCTTACAACAATTCCAGGCTTTCCTAAAAACAAAAGATTCTTGATATCCTATATCCTGGGTTTCTGGATCCAAATTCAGGATCCCCCTCTGGATATTCCAGAGCATGAGCCTCCATCCAGGCTGACATAGGAGCTGAAAGGAAGAAGGTAGAGGTTGGGGATATATCTCAGTGATGCAGTGCCTGCCTGGCAAGTGTGAGATCCTGACTTTGATCCCCAGTACCCCAGGAAGGAAGGAAGGAAAAAAGAAAGAAAAAATTTCACAGGGAAAAGGGTGGAAGAAACCCTTGACAAACGATCTCAGTTTTGTCCAACCTTTACCTCTATCCCTCTCCCAAGAACCTGAGGCTAAGGAATGAGGGAGGCCTGGGAGAGGGCCTAAAATAAGGAGCACAGAGAGGAACAAGGGAGGGTGGATGGGAGGTGTCTAGGGTGGAGGCAGAAGGGGTGTCTGGGCCGTTCTCACCAGCTTTGCCTTTCTTTGTGTCTAGGAGTGACAGTACAAGTTCTGTCCACCGTTCCCATCATGTTTAGCTACTGGGTGAGTGTGAAACCTCAAGCCCTCTCCTTGGTAGTGGAGGCTCAGGTCCAGCTGCCCAACAAGTTTGCACCCCCCAAACCACCCTTCCCTTTACAGATTAGCAGTATCCTCTCCCAGGCCTATTTTCTTAGCCATGTCCTTGATCTAATAGAGTAGCCAATAGTTACTCTGCTGCTTGCACAATAGTTCCATTGGACAGTACAGACTCAGTCTTAATACCCCTAAAATTTACCTGTCTGTTGTCTCATTCCTGAAATTCCTTGCTGGGGAACTGACAAGCCAAGTTATGTAGAGGTAAGAATGTTTTTAATTATGATGATCGTGGTCTAATATGTTGTCTCTTCTAAATAAATATGCAATTTTGAAAAGGTATCTTAGAACTGGATACCTCTCTAAACATGAATAAATCTCTAACACTGAAAGTTTCAGGCATGATTTTCAGCGTGTAGAAGGAAATTTTTATACAGAGCTGAGGATACATGAAGCACACGCACACTTACTCCTGTTGTGATTTAAGAAGCAATGAAAAACCACCCACTCATACACACTTCCCCTACCTGTATTCAGAAATCCACTATGAGGGATTTAGTTTTTCTCTATTCCTGTCATTAGATTCATTACTTGAAACACTAAAACTTTGATATGCCTGAACTTATCAAACCACTTTGACCAAACAAATTGGATTCCAAATTCCTAGCAGTGGGATGATGTCAAAAGGTAAGAAACAGTGAGAAGAGAAGTTAGAAGATTGAAAAGCAAACTTCATCTGGTTCTGTATTTTGCTAAGGTCAGCCCTGAATACCACAGTCAACAGAAAAGATGACAATTGAGAGGTCCCTGAACAGGCCTGGTATACCCTGAATGGAAGCAACAAGACAATGCCTTTATTGTGGCTTCAGACACTGGGCCAGACCTAGTCTCCTCACTGGAGAGCCATCCTCACTCCATTTCTAGAATGGAATGGTCCAGGATTAGGATGCAAGGCTCAATGACAGATTTTAGCTTCAATTTTTCTAATTAACTGGTAATATATTGGTGGTTTCTTTGTTTTTTTACAAAGATTGGGTTTTAAGTAGCCAGTGTCTTTCTCAAACTGGGCCTCAGTTTCCTGAGTGGTACAGCCATTGAAAAAGACAAGTTTTATCCAGAGGAAGTATCTAAAGAAGTATGTTTTCAACAGTATGATTTTCCTTCCTTTTTTCACCAGGCCAAACCTCATGATACTTTGGAACTGTGCCAGTTTTTAAACAACGACCTAGCTGCCACAGTTGCAAGCCATCCCCGGAGGTTTGTGGGTCTGGGGACATTGCCCATGCAAGCACCAAAGCTGGCCATCAAGGAGATGGAGCGCTGTGTAAAGGAGTTGGGCTTTCCAGGGGTCCAGATTGGCTCCCACATCAACACATGGGACCTAAATGAGCAGGAACTCTTCCAGTTCTATGAAGTGAGTATGTGGCTGTCATTTTACCAAGGCACAATCGCAGAACCACTAGCAGGGGCTGAGCACTTCTTTGAAGGCCGGCGGGGAGAAGATGAAGGTACCACCCCACTGCAGGGTGGGGAGACGGAGATGCCAATGACTGCAGATGTAGGTAGAAGGTATGGTAACCAAAACTACTTCAAAAAAAATGAGTGGGCCATCTTCAGAAGAGGAGCAGTACAAATGCTTCCTAGGCCAGCTCTGAGTTAGCTCCACAATGAAATCTCTTGTCTATCATCCTTGCTCTCCTTTGGAAACCTAAATGTCACCCTCATCACAGCCACTGTGCATAAGAACTATGTTAATGATATGCAAAAATTTTTTTTTAACTTTGGAAAAAAATTTCAAAATTTTTTAAAATATGAATTTTAAAGAAATTGTGAAAAGGGCACAAAAGTATAAAGAAGAAAACAAACATGCCACTCAAATATAACCACTGTTTGATACATTTCATTTGTAAAATTTGCATATATCTATATTCACCAAAATTGAAATTGTTATGCATGTGATTTCCAAACTAAATGAAAATTATCTTCATGTGTGATCTTATCTGAGAAAGGATCTCACTGTGTACTTTAGGCTGGCCTTGAACTCACTGTGAGCACAGTGTGGGGTTACAGGCATGCTCCACCATGCCCGACTTGAATGTGTGATTTTAAATAACTGCAGAATAATACAATGTATGGATATGTCACGATTTATTTAACCAATTCTCAATTAACAAACTTTTAAGGCCACATATTCTGAAAATGTGTAATAAAAATATATAAGGAAAAATAATGCCATGAAAATATTTACATTTGTTGAAACAAGATAATGAGTATATATATATATTTTTGTTGTTGTTGTTGTTGTTTATGAAATAGTGTCTGTCATCTCATAATCTTCTCCACTAGCCTTTCTCTTCTTTCTGTTCATTCTGTAAATATACCTGCCATCTTTAATCCATGATTGTTTACTCAATAGCATTTTTAAAGTCCTCCCTTCCTTCCTAGAATTATAATGGTAAAATATTGTGTTCTATTTTCATTGTAATGCTAAATCCTTCATAATGAATTAAATAGATGTTTATAGACTCACTAGAACTATACTTGTTGCCATTTATTCATTTAATATTTATTAAGTTCTAATTATATGCAAAAATTCTCCCATGTTTGTGTCTATGGTGATGGCCCGCCAGATGGAGATCACCTGTTTGTCTCCTAATGACCTGACCTGAAAGATTTAATGTTCTTCTAAATACTGAACTTCCTGAAGCTTATTGGCTGCAGCAGCTTAGCTGATGCCATGAATATTTTTTGGAAACTTTAGTGAGATTTGAAAAAGGATTTATTTACTTGAGTATTCAAGTTGTTTCAGCACAGTACTAGCAAGACTTCAGCTACAAGTCATTTTATTATTTATTGGAATTAGATTCATGAATTACTAAGGGGCTTAGACAGCAATAGCAGACAGTTGGGGTCTATATAGTTATTTTCACTTGTATGTCAAGCTTGACCCACCAATCATTCTAATTAGATTGTTGGGAGACTGCTAGTCTCTGAAGGATTCAGGACCATATCCTGACCCCTGTTGATTTGTAATGTCCCAAAGTTAATAACACATTTGTTTGGTCAGCAAAGCTTGCCTGCCTAACTACTCTCTAGCTTGCATCAGCACATGTTCAAACAAGCAAGAGAAAGCTCTGAAAGCTGACTTTGTTATTTCAAGGTAAGCCTGGTGGTCCAGAGTATCTAACTGTGCCCCTCTTCTCTCCTAGACCTCTCTTATTACTGAGTGAACCTAATTATACATACTCAGGTCCATTTTCAGGTACAAAAATGACTTCATTATCAATATGAGACAGATGAAATGGTAGTGCCAGACTGCCTGGCTCTACCATTAATCAGTCATAATACCTGAGTAAGTTACTTAGGCTTTATCTGCCTCAGTTTCTTTCTCTGGAAAATGAGAGGAATAAAACTACTCGTCTGATGATGAATTGAAGTAATTAATAGTTGTAAGTTCTTTTGTGGCACTGGGGATCAAATCCAGGTCTTTGCATGTGGTAAACAAGTGCTCTACCACTAAACTATGAGGCCAGCCTGAATAATTGTAAATTCTAAAACAGCTTTGGCACATACTAAGTTCTCAGTGAATGTTATGATTTTGAGAGAAGCAGCTTTGTGTTCTCCATAATATCTCATATATAGGAGACTTTTAAATCATCCATTTGAATTGAGTAGAAATGAATCATTATAAGTACATGGAATAAAGTTTTATCTTAATGAGGATCAAATCCTAATGAGATGATACAATCATATGCCTTTGCAAAGTTCAAACCATCCCAAGAAGATAATGTTCTCTTTGCAAGTTGCATCCATTATCAAAAATCAATTCTTTCTGGGAAAATACTCAGAAGAGAAATAGCTGGGACCTCTAATCCTAGTTTTTTGAGGAAACTCCACACTGATTTCCACAGTGGCTGTACCAGTCTACACTCCATAACAATGGAGAAAGGTTCCTTTTTCCCCACATCCCTGCCAGCATTTTTTATTGGTTGATTTCTTGATGATGGGGGAAAAGAGGAAAGAAGGAAGGGGAAAAGAAGATATGTATATATACAGAAGATAGCTAAGATAACTGTACTGCTAATTTCTATTAGTTCATTGAAAGGAACAGTTAGTGTTTATATTGTTTGATCAGTTTTGCATGCCTGTATCTGGTAATCTGAGAAGATATTTTGAAGATAACAATATGCAATATAATAACTATTGTTAATTTCCTACCTTGTTTTGAAATTCTGTATTGTTTGTTTTTTCTCTCTTTAAAATAAAATAATTAGCCTGTCTTCTTTCAAAAGGCTTCTATCTCTCTGTTCCTAGGACCTGATGAGTTAGAAGTCGTCTTTAATTATCCTTTGCCTACCATTCCCAGAGTCCCCTGTTGTCCAAAATTGTTTTTAAATTTTAAAAATGCATATGTATACAAGTCACATTGCATCAGCCTGGTTAATCCAAATATTTATGAATGAAGATAGGCTGAGTCACTTCAGCACCCCTACATTTGGAAAGAAAATGTACTAAGTAGTACGATTATCTTAGCTATCTGTTTTTAAACCTTAGTAAGCAGTAATATTCAACACTTGTTAAAGGGACTTGGTAAACATTTTGGTAAATAAAGGTCATTCCATCCAGATGATATTTCCCTTTCTCAGAAGACTCTGGAACACTCCTCTTAGTTCTTGCCTTGGTTCAGGTGCTGAGAGGTTGTTCCTGTCCTAGGTCATCTTATTCATGGCAGATTGTTCAGAGACACCTGGCTTCTGGGGTCTATGTGAGTGCCTACAGGCCCCAGAAAATTCCCACCTAGTTTGGGCTCTCAGTAACTTAATGGCTTGCGTCAGGCCAGCCTGCCCCAGCCCAGCCCTAGGACCCTGGCACCCAGGCCATCATTTCCTCACTTCCTACAACCTTAAGTTTCCAAGCAAAGAAAAGAAAGGAGCATTCCTGCCCTGACTCCAAGGAGATCATCTTAACCATCCCTCCCAAAGAGTAGGCCAAGTAAGACCTAGCAGGGAAAACTTCCTCTGCATTTGAAGTGTGGAATTAGTGCTTGAGCATTTTCACCTCAGCCAAAATATTTGAGTTATGACTGCTTTCTATGACTTGTTTTGCCAAACAATGTACTAAATTTATCAGCCTTAATGGTGAACCCACCAATCCCTTTTATTAACTCTAAATGTCCTTTGTAATTTTCCAAGCAGAAGCAGTTTGTTAATGACTCTTTTACACAGATAAAAAAACTATTTCCAAAGTATTTTATTTATTCAAATCAATATAGACTTGGGAAAAAAGCAGTTTCCCAAAAAGAGTACCTTATCTTTGTTTGTTCATCCAGATAACCTTCTTCTCTTGTTGCTTCTTTGAAGGTGGCAGAAAGGTTGAACTGTTGCCTGTTTGTGCATCCCTGGGACATGCAGATGGATGGACGAATGGCCAAATACTGGCTCCCGTGGCTTGTAGGTTTGTGTCAGCTTGAGGTGGAACAGAGGAGCAACTCTTGGGTTTTTCCAATCACCTGTGGAACCCTATTATATCAAAGAGAGAAAGTAAAATTAACAGGACTGAGAGGAATAGCAACTGTCATTTACTGAACTCTTACTCAGACCATCACTGTATATATTACCTTGCTTAACTTTAACCATATCCAATATGCTTATCAATAAATCACATGATAAGTAAATCATATATTTAATCTACAAGGTTGACATTATAATGACTTTCTACAGATGGAGAAGTTGAAGTGGTCAAGTACGTTGTCCAAGTTACGCAGTTAATAAGAGAAAATGGAATTCACATAGCTCTGCCTGACTCCAAAGGCACTTTGCTACACAAACTTCCAAAAAGGCTCCAAGATCAGCTGCCATAAATGAGAACATGAGAATTACAAGCAGAAGGTCAACTTTTCCCATCCAAGGAGCTTGAAGCCCTAAGTTGTAGAGGCTTTCAGTGTTCCTGTTGTTTGTTCCTCTCTTCTGCTCTTTGCCTCCTGCACTATTAATTGCTGGTTCCACATGAAGGTGACAGAAAAAGAAAGAGGGGAAACCCCATTTGTCCTATCCAAACTCTCATTATCACCCCAGTAAGAAACAAACAGGAGAACATGTGCTAAAACACAGCTCATCTAAAAACCCAGTGAAAAGTGGGTCCCTAAGCGAAATGTTGGAGTTCTTAGAGGGCCATCGTCCATTCATTCTCTCCCTAGCCCAATTAGTAATTATTAATTAACCAAAATGGCAAACACCCAAAATGAAGAATTAAATGAGTCAATATATTGGAAGTCAAAGTCAGAATTTCAGTTCCAGGTTAGTCTCTATATCATGGTATAATCTGTAGCAGATTCCTTCACCTCCTTGGGCTCCATTTCCTCATCTGTAAAGGAGAGACCAGGTCTGGATTCCCCCAATGGCTTTTTCCTGCTACGGCATTTTACATGGTCCTATGATTGTTAGTGAAAACAAAAGTATTCAACATAGTGGGTTCTCACCCATCCCCCATTAACTTTTTCCTACTAATTGTTGCATAAAAACATGTTGCTGTCCAGATTCCAAAATAATCTCATCCTGATTCATAAAACCTTCACAAATTTCATAAACTTATTTATGAAGTACAACTTTTGACACGAAAAACTGAGTATTTTCATGCAATCATATAGTTTCTTTATGCAATGGGTATATATTGATCTTCCCACCATGCCAAGCCCTGTATATGGACATGAACAAACTTGCTGCCTCCATGAGGCTTACATTTCAGTCAGAAAAAAGGGATGATAATAAAATACAAAGATCATAAACAAATAGTTCAGTTTCAAAATTTTACAGTAAATACAAAGGTGATCGTTAGTGGATTGGAAGAAGGGTCGCAATCCATTGTGAATATAACTTTAACTCTTGTATGGAGAATGGGTTGTGGGGCTATGTTTCAAGTGATTAATGGGAAGCAAAATCACAGGTCCAGAAGGAAGTGGTGTTGTCCATCCCCTGCTGTCAGGGAGCTCTGCTACAAAACCACTCACAGGTGGATATGAATCCATCCTGCTCCTAGAATTCTCAGGAAGCTGGAAAGGTAGGGCATCTCTCCTTGTGGAGCATTGACAGACAAAATGAAATCCTAGTGGAGCCTTAATCAACAGCTCAAAGAGAAGTGCCTCCATAAGGTTCAGGATGTGTCTCAGAGCAGTCAGATGTCTCTGAGCCACAATCTGAAAAGCAGTCATGAGGCAATGCAACCCAAACTGGTACCTTGGGGATGAAGGCATCAGATATAGACCAGCTGCATCTCTTTGGAGTACAGAGCACTTGAAATAATTCACACTAATCCACTAATTTTCAAACTTAACTGTAAGAGATAGCAATAATTTGTCGAATAACAGTAACAGTAATATCATTACTTGCAAAACTCCACAAAAGCCTTGCAAGATAGGCAACATTGTATTCATCTTACAAGTGAGGAAGCCCAGCCTCAGGAACATTAAATAACTTATCACAGGCCAGGAGGCAGAGAACTGCAAGAGCTGGCATTCAGCCCAGGTTCCTTACACCTTGCTTGCCCCATTGCATCCAAAACTGAAGCCAGGGGAATCAGGACAAAAGATGTTCTAGCCACTACACTATTCTCCCTACAGACGGCAAATAGGAAGCATCCAATGACTCTCCTCGCCTAGAAATGGCCTGTATACAGCCAAATCATGCTGGGGAGCAAGAGCCCAATGATTATCAGCACTGGAAATTCCCCAGATATTACCTGCTATTCCCTGGCCATTAATGTCATTAATGTCATTATCCACAATATCAAACTATCTCTTCTTGGTTAAGGGACAAGCCTGAACTTTGTGACTATTTCCTCTTTCAGGAATGCCTGCAGAGACCACCACAGCTGTTTGTTCAATGATCATGGGTGGGGTGTTTGAGAAGTTTCCGAAACTGAAAGTATGTTTTGCACATGGAGGTAAGATCCTACTTGTCTTAGTCAGCCTAGCCTGCTATGACAAAATACACAGGTTAGGCAGCTTAAACAACAGACATTTATTTTTCTCATGGTTCTGAAGACTAGAGAAGTCCAAGATCAAGCTGTTGGCAGGGCTGGTTTCCAATAAGAGCTTCTTTCTAGCTCACAGATGCCCCTTCCTCTGCACCTGCATGGACAGGGAGTGGGAGAAAGGAGAGCACAGGTGTTTATTCTTGTTATAGGGACATCAGTCCTTTTGGCTTAGGGGCTCACCCTCCACACTCAAGTGATTTTCATGACTTCTGTAAAGGTTCTGTCTCCAAACACAGGCATATTAGAGGTTAGAACTTCAGCAGAGGAATTCTGGAGGAATACAAATAAGTCTATAACAACTTTCCAGCTGTAATTCTAATTATATGATAGTTGGGACTAAATCCCATTTTCATAGACAAGTTTAGTTTTTGTTGAATTGCATTCTGTTTTTTATTTAAATCTCTCTAATCAGACTCAGGGCTGCCCAGTCTCTACCATTCTCCATTGTTTACAAAGGCCTAATCCATTCCTCTGCATTGTTTACCTGGTCCCTATAGGTAACTGAGATTGTGACTTTTGAACATACACACTTATACATACACAATATCAAACTATCCGTATTATTCTCTAACCTGCTTTTCCTTCCCAACACAGGGAAGATATCATTCCACATCAATAAATACAGAGCTATACTATTTTTTCATGACTCTGCACAGCATTTCATTTTATGGAAATGCCATCATGATTTAGATAGTACTCAAATGATAATATTGTCTTAATATTTTACTATTATAACCACACTACATTGGAAAACACTGACCTTATATCTTTGCGTGTTTGTCTTCTCTCTTTGGGATAAATTTTTGACACCTGACTTTCTGGATGAATCATATCATAACTCTTGTATCATTCCCATCATTTGGATCCACCAGGTCCGTTTAAATACTATTCATCATTTGGGCTATGGTAACTTCTCTCTGCATTAAACACCAAGATGTAATGGAATCCTTTAATCCACACTCCTGATTTATATGTTTTACTTGCAGGTGGTGCTTTCCCTTTCACAGTGGGAAGAATCTCCCATGGATTCAACATGCGCCCAGATCTATGTGCCCAGGACAATCCAACTGACCCAAAGAAATACCTAGGCTCCTTTTACACAGATTCACTAGTTCATGATCCTCGAGCTCTCAAGCTGTTAATGGATGTCATAGGAAAGGTAAGGTAGGCCTCACATTTGGACGACTTATCAGGAACAATATGATAGATCAGCATCCAGTTGCTTAGCAAGTTAAACATTTTTCAGGGAAGACTAATGTGAATTAGTAAAAATGCTGAAATATTTACCATAATTTGTTGCTCAAAGGGAATTAACTCCAGAATCCCAACAGAAACTAAGTTTCTCAGATGCTCAAGTCCTTATATTAAGTGGCACAACATTTACATGCAATCTACAACAATATATATACTTCAAATATACTTTAAATCATCTCTAAAAGACTTGTAATACCTAAGACAATGTAAATGCTATGTAAATAATTGTTATACTGTGTTATTTAGGGAATAATGAAATGAAAAAAAGCAGTCCGTCCATGTTCAATACAGAAGCAATTTTTTTTTTCCAAACATTTTGATCCAACGTTGCTTGAATCCAAGAATGTGGGACCTGGGGCTACAGAAGACTAACTGTATTTCAGTCCCATGTTTCATTCATATTTTGATGTATGTATGTATATGTGTGTATGTTCACGATTTTTACTTATAAATATCTACTGAAGATTTCCAAATTTTTGCAAGGCAAAAAAAAAAATCTTTGGGGTTTTCCAAAAATATGTGGACATATTTAAAGATTTTTAGTATGGTGCTTGAACCAAGATTAGACTGCAAAGTTTTCTAAAACTCTGTTTAATGAATTAAAAGGCTCATCATTCATAAGTAACAAGTAGTGTTCTAGCTCCAGAATGGATACTTCATCCCTCTTTAATGCTGTTTCTCTGGTGTAAAAAAAATAACTAGTATATAAATGTTAAGCATTTTAGTTTGGTAATAAATTATAATAGTCCTAGCCAACTGTTGCAATTGAGAGACTCCTGGAGATGTGATTGGATTACGAGGTATCATATTTACCAGTGGATTAATCCGCTGATACTCAGAGCTAAATGTGCTGTTAGGAAGTAGGGTCCATTTAGAGAAAGTGGGTTACTGGAGGCAGACCTTTGGAGGGCACATTTCTCACTGGCTCTCTTCCCCTGTGCTCTGCTTCCTGGCTGCCATGAAGTGAGTAACTTTGCTCCACCATGACTCTCTGACATGATGTTCCCGCCTTGGAGTCAGCTGACCAAGGACTGAAACCTCTGAAACTGTGAGCCAAAAATAAGTCTCTCCTTCTTGAAATTGAGGATATCAGGTATTTTGTTCCAGTGACAGGCAAAACACTGATACCTACATATTCGAAGATCCTCAGTGGATGCCTAACACCACTGATGTTACCAAATCCTATACAGAAGCATTAAGACACTGTGGCAGTCAATTTGATAACGAAGATGGCTGCTAAGTGACTAATGGGGATTAATGGTCTGTATATACAGTACAATGTGTATATGCTGTCTAAAGGGATGTTTTATTTCAGGTTGCACAAAGTAGGACAGTGCAAGATTTTACCACACTACTCAGAATGGCATATAACTTAAAACTTATGAAGTGTTTATTTTGGGCATTTTCCATGTAATATTTCTGAACTGTTATAAACCAAGAGAAACTGAAACTATGGAAAGCAAAACCTCAGATAAGGGATACTGCTATATCTGATTGAGCTGTGTCTGTACATTGTCTAGCCTCTATGCTGTCCCTATAGAGATGATAGCTAGCAGCTGGTTGTGACTATGAATTCTTTTGGGTGTGAACGGAAGGTGATGGGGGAGTATGTAAGTTAAAGGTACAAAGAAGAGAAGCTAAAAGAGTCTTTATGGGTTCTGGACTTCAACCAATGGAAGCAGAAAGGGGAAAGTAATGGAGAATTGGAGAAAGGGTCATGCATATTACCTCCTATGGAGCCTAGTACCTCCTAGTATTCTTGGAAATGGCACCACCAAGAGAAAACACCCTTGACCCATACAAAGCCTACCCTGCATAATACATCAGCAGTGAAGAATTTTATCAATATCTTTAAGCAAGTACCTAAGGCAATACACATTGGCCAGGGAACTGAAGCAGAAGAGGAAGAATATGGCAAGTGCCTCATGGCAACTGGTAGATAGATGAATTGGTGAGCACATGTGAATATTCCTCTAGAAGGGCCCCTAGAAAAATTGAGAGGGCACTTTGCAAAGGTAATGGCACTAACAGCCTACATTCAAATTATAAAGGCACGAAGTACCACAATTTGGGCATCAAAAGTAAATGTGACTTCATTTTACGTGACCTCACAGGCCAGAATCTAGGACATAGCAGCCATATATATTAATAATTTAGGGTTCTCTTTAAAATATTAATGCTTCTGCATTTTAGTTATATTCACATTAGCAAATTCTCTTTCAGAAGCAATTACAAAATCAAAATGACTAAGGAAAGGCCTACCAAGACATTTGGGCTACAATGCAACCAGTCTAGATTAGAGCAAGAGAGCAGATTTCTGTGGAGGGTGGTATCCAGTAAGGAAAAACATTAAAGTGATGGATAATTTGGTGTGTTTGAGAGTTGGTAACAATTATCTCCAGACATTAGATAAATCTGTTAATGCTTTAGGAACAAATCATACATACATTAAAAACTAAGAAAAGGAAATAACTCCAAGAAAACAATCTGTATGGGGGCAGATAATCATTGTACATTATTTGACTCAGCAGTGAACAACACTTACATTAATAGAAGTATAAATACTAATTATTGCTTTAACTAAAAAAACTCAAGTTATACTGGGAAATTAAAGTGGTTCAGAGTAGGGGGCTGGGGATTTAGCTCAGCGGCAAAAGCACCTGCCTGGCAAGTGCAAGGTCATGAGTTCGGTTCCCGGTACCGGAGAAAAACCAAAAAAAACAAAAACAAAAACAAAAAAAAAATAAATAAATAAAGTGGTTCAGAGTAGAAAGAAATTTCCAGTGACCACATTGGGAAATCAGTAAATACTTTCTCAGGCTAACAAATCACAACATAAAAGCATAAACTTATCATCTTGGAATATGAAGGTAGTTATCAGAAAATGTAAGTTAAAAAGTAAATACAGATTTTGGGGGGAATAAGAATTGAGAAAGTTGGCACAGGACTGCTTTTGATGATACATTGTGGTTTTTTGGTTTTGGTTTTGTTTTTGTTTTGGTACTGGGAATCAAACTCACAACCTCATGTTTGCCAGGCAGATGCTGTATCACTGAGCTAAATTCCCAGCTCCCAATGATACATTGTTTAACTATGTATAAGTGTTATTTTGATGAATCACAAATTTAAGCAATACCATAAGACTAACTATATATGATATATGTTTATACCAAAACCATTTTTGAGTACTTCCTATTTCTAAACCACTTGGTCAAGAAGGACTTAAGCTATATAATCTCTTGGTTTTCTTCTCCCTCTAAAAGTTTTTGCTTTTAATCTATCTTTACATATTTTTAAAGACAAATGCAGATAATGCTAGTTATATATCACTAGTCTATTGCTGTAAAAATTAAGAAAAACATTGCCTCCTTATATCATATGAACATAGAAAATACTTTAATCATTCATCTACTCATTATGGTTATGTCATAATTTTAGCTAGACCTATTAGTAATCTACTGTTGCATAAGAACCCCAAAACTTAGTGGCTTAAACAATATGGTCTCGTGTTCTCTGTGGGTCAAGAATTTAAAAGCAAGTTAACTGGTTTTAAAAATACCAACCAAAACCTAGCCTGGGTTCTCCCCAGAAATGTCAACATTCCTACCAACTCCCACACTCCAGCACTGGGACGCAACTTACTCGGCCTTCCAGCCACCTAAAGGCAGTCAGGACTGCCATCACCTACAGGCTTGGTTGGAGCCGAAGGATTTATTTCCAGGGTGTACTCTACTCATGATGGACACACGGCTGCTGGGTTTTGGTGGAAGGCCTCAGTTCCTTTCCAAGTGGGCCTCTGTACAGAGCTGCTGTAGTGGCCTCACATCATGCCAGGTTGTTACCCCTAGAATGAGTGATTTGAGAGAGAAATGAGGGTTAGACATGGGGAAAGAGTCAGAGAGAATATGAGAAAGAGAGTGAGAGCCCACCAGGTGGAAGTTGTCCTTTTCATGACCTGCAATAGAAATCACTACTAGGCATTACTTCCAAAAGATTTTATTCATTAGAAGCAAGACACTAAATCTGACTCTAACACTTGTTAGATTGACGGCCTTTAGGATCAAGCCACTTATTCCTCCCAGCCTTAGCTCCCAACTGAAAAGTGAACATGATGGCCAAATAGAGTATACATGAAGAGTTAATATAATACTATGCCAAGGCATTATACAAATATCAGGGATGTATAACACTTAGTCCAGTGTTTTACAAATAGTAGGTATTAAGTTAATATTTGTAAAATGGAGCTGTGTAATGATCTTAGGTATACAAGGCTAATCTTATTTTGCACTAATTCAAATAAACCATGCCCCTTCTCTTGGAAATTATGTGTCAGGGAATAAACTGTATTACTGATATACTAGAATTTTTTGTACTAAGCTATGTTATAAGATAGTTTTGGTGCATTTACTGCAAATATCGCTAATGAGATGGTTAATTGTTCATGTTCTAGAAGAAAAATGAAACTATCTTCTGTTGTTAGAACCTACTTAGTAAGCCACATGTTTCGGTGTTTGTTGCCTTCCCTGGAAATGTGAAAACATTAATGCATCTCAGTAGGTGAACAGTTTATTCCTTTTCCTGGCAGAAATGTTAATCACTATTAATATCAACTCATTAGGTCTTTGACCTCACAGGAAGATGTGTGCTGCTCCTGGCTTTGGAGAGGGAAACGTATGTTAGAGCAAGGATGGTGCTGACAAATCCATCCAGATTATCCAGTGCTTTCCTGCCTAATAAAGAAAGCCAGCATCTGTCTAGAAGTTATAATTCCAGTAGCCCAGAAGAGGCAGAGATGTTAGTTAAAATACCTACCACTAGGTCTATTCCTTTGGGCTTAAAAGAATCTTTAGAAAGGCTCCAATAAAATGTAGATGCGAAACTTACATCAACAAATTAGTACATATACATTTTAAGATTGATTTGTGATCGTGGTGGACACCAATAGAATCTTGTCACAAACAACAAAATCCAGCTTTGAGGAGGCCAGGATCAACGATGGGACTTAGGAACCTGAGATGCCATGAGTGCCTTCGGCATCCCAGGGAGCTAGGTCGGTGAAAATGGAGCAACAGTTACCCAAGATCATATTGTATGAATCCTTAATCCAGGACTCTCACACAATTTATTTGAAACATAGTCAGTGTGAAATCATGAGATAACAGGTGATAGAAATAGCAATAAAAAGCATTTTTAACTCAACTATTTATTAAGCATCTATCAAGTGGAGATTCATGTTAAGTAATGAAGTATGACTTTCATCCTACAGTACCATACAACTCTTACAAGATCCCTTCCCCCTACATTACTCCTGCTACTATCTCCTCTCCCTCAGAATAAGAAACTCAGACAAGAATTGTGTTTCTAAGCCGGGCCTGGTGGCACATGCCCGTAATCCCAGCACTCAGGAAGCTGAGGCAGGAAGACTGTTGCAAGTTCAAGACCAGCCTGGGCTACAAAGTGAGCTCAAGGCCAGCCTGAACTGCATAACGGGACCCTGTCTCAAAAAGACAAAAAGAAAAAAAAAATTAAATAAAGATAACAATACACGATGGATTAACCATTATTACTCTCCTATTTTGTTTTGAAATTTTGTGTTTTTTTCTCTTTAAAATAAAATTTTGAAAAATTGTATTTCTGTTTTATGCCAACTTTCCTCTCCCTTATGAAATTACTAACATGTGGGAAATAACCAACAGTTTAATAGAAGTCTTCAATAAAAGATGTAAAGATAGATAACATGTGAGAAAAATTTACAAACCAAATTATCAAGGATAATTAACTTTCTATAGACAGAAATTGTGAGTAATGCCTTCTAAATAATAATTAAATGTTGCCAAACCATGAGTTTGATACCCTGCAGTGGGCACTCAAAATCAAGTTAGGAAGGAAAGCAGGGAAGTCTCCTAATCAGGAGGGATGAATTGCATAAGAGTGGTTTTCATTTCTGTTTTAGAATCATTTGCTTTCTCCACATTAAAACAGAACAGACCTCCTTTCTAAATGCATGTATACCTGAGAAGGCTGTAATACTGAGAAAGAAAGTGCTCTAGAAAGCAAAATTCATTTCCAGATTTCATTTTCATGTTAATGTAGCTGACAAATATAAACATGGGACTTTTAAAACTTATGTTGTGTTTTAAAATTGTAAACAGTTTTAGCAAGGAAAAGGCAAAAATAAGGGCAAATGAAACTCCAGCGAATACCAAGCAAGCAGTTCAAAATGAGATCAGCTGTTGGCACAGATGTGAGTGGACATAATTTTAGGTCTTCAGGGGTTCTACAGGCAGGTGTATTTGCTTGGCTTCACATAGTAATGAATACAGAAATTTAGAAATAGATTTGTTAGCCTATTCCTGCCTTCTTTGAAACTTTACTATGTGTGTTCCAATATTCATATAAATGTATTGATAAAACCTAGAAAAATCTTTTTTTGTGGAAGTCATAGTGTTATTTGCTCTCACAAAAGTTCATATTTAAAGTATTTTAAATATATTTAGTATTTCAGACCTAGTTCCAGTAAGAATTCCTTCTTTGATGCATTCAAGCATTTATTCACCTTTGAACACACATCATTAAAACAATTTTCAAAGGATTATAAGCATGTATCAGTTATATTCCAAACTTGTCTCAAAACAAGAGGCTGCCTCAAACATCCAAGTAAAAGGATCACTATTGCTAGTAGTATTTTATAGGGGAAAATAGCTAGATAATTATTGTTAGATTGAATTTTTAAAAAAAAAAAAGGCTATCTAGTTAAGGATGATAGCCTTTTTAAATTATTAGTGAAATATCCCAGACCAGTTTCAAGACTAATGATGAGCTAGATGTGATAGGATGTGCCTATAATTCCAAACCTCAACAGACTGAGTCAAGAGTATTGTGAACTAGAAGCCAGCCTGTGCTCCACAGTGGGTTCAAGGTTGGCTTGGACTATACAGCAAAACATCATCTCAAAAGAAAGCAAGAAAGCAAGCAGGAAAGAAAGAAGAGAAGAGAAAATGAAAGAAAAGAAGACCAGTACTCAGTTAAGTTGGTTTCTGAGGAAGGATTCTTAAAGCATTAGTCCACCAGAAAATTGCTATCAAGAATGCTAATTATTCCCCCAGGAAAAGCATCTAGTTACATCAGGCCACAAAATTCTGCACCGGTTGAGATTTGGGGACCACTGTCCTTCTCACATTTATTGGGAATCACCTATGTTATTGTAAGGAATTTGAGCTCTACTTTATGGGCAATGGGAAATTACTGAAGAATTTTAAGCAGGGATATGTCATGATAAAGTTGTACATTTAAAAGGGCATTTGTTACTGGTTGATTTCTTGATGGTAGCCATTCTTTCTGGAATGAGATGGAATCTCAGTGTTGTTTTAATTTGCATCCCTCAAATGACCCATGATGTTGAACATTTTTTCACATGTTTATTTGCTGTTTGTATTTCTTCCTCTGAGAAATGTGTATTCATCTCAGATGCCCATTTTTGAATTTGGGGGGTCTGATTTTTTTCATTTCTTTACATGTTCTAGATATAAAGTCCTTTGTCTCAGGGACAACAGGCTAAATTTTTTTCCCACTCTGTGGATTGTCTTTTCACTCTGCTGGTGATTTCTTTTGTTGTTCAGAGGCTTTTTAATAAGATGAGATCCCAGGTGTTGATTCATTA